GGGGTTGATATCACAAAATGCAAAGCCAGTGCTTCAACAGCATTAAGGAAGATGAAAAAAACTGCCAAGGATACTGCAGAAATAGCTAAATTAGATATAAAGAACGCCGTGGAAAAAAGCCGTTATCCCTGAATAATTCATTTTGACGGAAAGACTTTGTTTGAAATGAATCAGGGAAAAAGACTGAAGAATGAAAGATTAGCTGTGCTCGCTAATATTGAGGGGGTGTCGCATCTTCTTAGAGTACCTCCCTTGCCGTCTTCTTCAGGTGAAAATATGTATATAGGAATCATGAAAATACTAGAAGAATATGACCTCATTTCAAAAGTATGCTTTGATACAACTTCAAGTAACACTGGTTCTAAGAAAGGATCACTTATTAGAATTGTAAGAGAGGTTGACAAATACCTTCTTCTACTAGCATGTAGGCATCATATCATTGAGCTTAAAATGGTTCATTTCTGTGAAGCAGTGATAAAAGGGAATAGCGTAGGACCTAAAAATCTTTTATTCGTAAAGTTTAAACATATGTTTGAGAACCCTAACTTCAAATACGACGAAATTATCCTGACCTCTCTTGATTGGAAAAACGTGGAAGGAACAGTTTTGAAGGAAGCTGCAAAGAAAACTTTAGATTAATGTGAGACCTATATTACTAAAAAATGCAATATGAGGAAAGACCGAAGAGAGTTGGCTAAGCTAACCAGGCAGTATTTATCACCTTCTGCACATTTCAAATTAAAGAAAACTGGAGCTGTTCATCATGCTAGGTTTTTAGGCAAGAGTTTATACTACCTTAAACTTCAGCGTTTGTGCAAGCAACTGACATTTGTACAAGAAAATGATAATCTACGCGATGATTTAAAACTCATCTGCAAGTTCATAGTATGTTTTTACACAAGGTGGTACCTTCAAGCACATAGAGCAATTCAATCTCCTGCGTCTGATCTTGATCTTTCAGATGAAAGAGTATAAGAAAGTTTGCTCCAATCTGGAGGCAGTAGACGCAGTGTTAGTATCTCTTTATAAGGATACATGGTATCTTGATTCAACGATTGTTCCCTTGGCTCTTTTGGATTAAAATATTTCTATGGATAAAAAACAGTCATGGCAGATGCTTTGCTTTCCTTCCAAATGCCAGATCCAGATTTTTTTAAACATAGAAGCAAAGATCGAATTGACGAGATTAATATCATAAATAATATAAAGGTACCAACCCTCTCTCTTTTGGTTAATGAGTTTTCATATTTAATTTTTTCAATGATAGGGTTGGATAATCAGAGAGTGAGAGACTGGTTGTCACTTCCACCCCAATAATGGCACACCCAGTCCTCGTTTAAGAATTTTGAAAACTTTGCTAAAATGTTAATTGTTGTCCATGATCATTCTGAACGAGCAATCGGAATGATGCAGCAGTTTGTAGAAAGATTCAAAATGGAGGATGACAAGCAGAACAGACTTTTAACTGTCGAAAAAGTAAGGTCAACTTTCAAGGTTTTTGGTGTGGGAAAAAGTAATAATACAAAAAAGAAAAATCAGAAAACCTGATGTCACTCTCTAAATTAAAGAAAAGGAAATTGTAGACTTAGGAAATTGTTATTAATTTTAAAATACTTATTTCATTTAATGCATAATTTTTGTCTTGATAGTATTTGTAAAGATTTTTATTATGATGGTAACTTACTTGTTTAATTCAAAATAGTTTGTTTTTTTAATTGATTTAAGCGGGAATTTTTACGTCTGTCCATCTGAATGAGCTTTAGGTATGAAAATACGTAATTTGCTGATTTCATAACCACTTGCGTATACTAAAATTTTCATTTTTTGATTTCTTAAATATTGTTTTAACCAAGAATATGTAAAAAACATGATGACATACCCTTTTAAAATGAAAATATACATATCAAATAATAAAATAAAAAAACAATGGAAATAATTTTTTCATTTAAATCCCCCTCAAAGATCCTGAACACACCCTATTTTTCCTTTTTTAAAGTACAATTTCTTAACAACTTTAGTCTTGAGGGGGACCAAGTTTTAGCATAACTGCTCCAACTTTAGCTGGATATGTACTTTGATTTCAAAAATTCCCTAAATATATATATATATATATGTATATATATATATATATATATATATATATATATATATATATATATATATATATATATATATATATATATATATATATATATGTATATATATATATATATATATATATATATATATATATATATATATATATAAAAATATATATATATATATGTGTATATATGTATGTATATATATATATATATATATATATATATATATATATATATATATATATATATATATATATATATATATAACAGTTTCGTGAGAGTGACGGAATTAAATATTGATACTCTTTACGCTATAAAAAATAAGCGGAAAATGGAAATAAATTAAAGTTTTCCATTTTTATGCAAAAGTTACAGCATCAATGTCCTAAATGTATTTCAAAAATTTTACTTCTTCTGAATAAAACATCGTTGGTGCTGTAGGAAATAATCTCTAATTGAAACTCATGTTTGGAGATATACTTTCTAGTTTGCACTCTGCCAAAGCATTTACTATTTCAAGTTTTGCCGAAATATTGGCTTCGTTATATGTTTCATTTCTTGGAAAGATTTAGTCTTCACTGACTATATCTTTAGAATATTTTTTTGCAAAATTAGCAGCTTCATCTATAAGTTCTGACCTCTGACATTTTTTATTGTTCTTTAGAAAGAATAAGGTTTCAAAAATCTGTTTTGCGGTGCTAACGAATTGTAAGCTCTTCAATAACATTTTCCAAAATTACATGAAAACCTGGATTTCAGAATAGGAATTTGAAGGGAGATTCGCCTGTCTCACTCATTATACTCACATTATCATTGTGAATTTGTTTTCTGCTATCGCTCCTCAACAATTTTATTTCTACATTTAGGCTAGATGCAGCAAGCTTTGCTTCATTTCACATTGGTTTCAAACTGATACAAATAGCTGTTATATTTGAAATTAAGCTTTCTATATTTGAAACTTCTATGACTTAAGTCGAGCTACAGGCTTGAATGACTTTAGCAATAGGAATTATTATTCTGTGCGACAAAACTGACAATATAATGCAGGTAAAGGTACTTATGTAAGAAATAGCTCCACAAATCCGTTTTCTAGTTTTTTAATCAAGACAGCTGAATAAGTAGAATATCGTTTGCATTGTTCCAAAGTAGGTTATGGCTTCTGAAATACATTCAGCAGCTTCATTACTACATAAGTTAAGTGTGTGGCAGCCATGAGGAGAAAACATAGCAGTATGACACTGTTTTGTTTTTAGCTTTTATACTTTTTGTTATAGCTTTTGCTCCCTTATATTTTCCTGGCATTTTTAGCGCATTGTCATAACTACCTACCTTGTCATAGCCCTACAATCAGCGCGTAGAATAGTATTTTTTTCTAATGTACTTGTAATCATTTGAGCAATTTTAGTACCATTTTTGTCACTGCAACCTACATGTCTCAAAAATCATACCACAATTTAAAATTGCGATTCATGGCAAACAAAGTAACACAAAACAATTGCTGTTTATTCAACATGAGATGAATCTGTTGGAGAATCTAAAATTATTGCGTATTACTTTGTATAATGTCTATCTTTTTAAATATGCTACTAAATAAGATCACAATATTCTGCAAGAAACTAATTTTGGGAACCATTTGTGAGGTAATCTGCTTGCAGTCTATCGAACATTTTTTTTTGTGACTCAGTTATTTTTAGAACGTATTCCTTTAAAATAGGTTCCCAGTTAGAAAAACAACTTGATCAGACCTAAAAACTTTCCTTTCTTTGATTGAACAATGTGTTGCAAAGATCCCTGTAATGCAAGGCTATGTTCCCTTAAGAAAAAGATAATACTATAAATTTTTCTCAATACTTGGTTCCATTTTTCCGATTACACTTTTATTGATGATTCAATAAAATTATAAATAATGTCTTTTAATAAAAGATGTTGTTCTAATTCACACCATTCTAGATTAATTAAAAGGCAATGGGCCTTCTCCATGCCTAATTCTTTTTTCGTGATCTGGAATTATGCTAAAGAGCTTTCGCCAATTAGAAATCGCTCGCCAGCCTTTAGCTGTAGTTAATGCAGATTTAGAAGCAAAATTTAGCTTAGGACAGACATTGTTCCAAAATAACCGGAAAGGAAAACAATATAAAGAAGCCTTATGCTTCCTCCATACAAGACAATACAAGACACAAGTACGCTGTTCTGCATTAATTTTTCTTAACTTTAAAATACCTTCTGAAAATTATTGATCGTTATCATCTTTTAGCAATTTTAAAGAAAAATCAATAAAATCTTTTTTAATAAAATTACTTATTTCTGATTGAGAAAGATATTCTGCTGTGATGAATCCAATGTTAATTTTGAACTTGATTGGTAAAGTGAATCATTACTTAATATAAAGTTATTAAAAATCTGAGATAATTAAGAAATAAATAAACTAAATAAAGAAGTAATAGTTTAGATATTTTTTCAATCATTTTGCCTTTCCATATTTTATAAAGTTCTTTCTTAAACTTGTTACGATTAAACTTTGTTTAGCAACTAACCAATGACAAGTTTTATAATTGCGTTGTTATGTTTTTTTTCTTGTAGTAACTTACCACTACATTGCTTTTATCAGACCAAATTATTTAAAAGTTACCCTCTAAGTAAATTACAGACAACGAAAAAAGTTTGTTATAATTTAAATATATATATATATATATATATATATATATATATATATATATATATATATATATATATATATATATATATATATATATATATATATATATATATATATATATATATATATATATATATATATATATATATATATATATATATATATATATATATATATATATATATATATATATGTATATATATATATATTTATAAGTATATATATATATATATATATATATATATATATATATATATATATATATATATATATGAATACTTTCTTTTAATAATAGATGTTAAAAAAATGTTTAATGCTGTTGTTAAAAGAATGTTTGCAGAATTAAAAAAATGTTTAGTTCTGCCAAGTAATAAAGTTGATATTATATGCTAACCAACTTTTTTTATTAAATGCTACTAAAAACTATTTACTAAAACATTGTTTTTCTTCATAGTTTTCACCACAACACCATTTCATAGTATTTGAAATATTACATTTCCTACTTCTATTTATTATTCCTAATGAATTATTGCAAACTGACCATGGACTCCACTGTACCCAAGACACTAAATAAAAAAAAGTCATTATAATCATTGTCATTGTTATCATTCACATCATCAGCAGCATCATCGTCATTATTATCATAACTCATAATTATCATAATCAAAATTAGCAACTGATCCTTACCAGAATATTCATTTTTTATTACAACTTTTCTAATTAATCCAGGTTGAGCAATGTACCATGGATCTGAAATATATACACTAACATTTAAAAATGTTCGGGCATCTGTATTTTCAACATTTAAAATACTCTTATTATTGAGTTGAATAGAATAAATATATTTTGCTTGAAACAAATTTTGTGATATTTTAATTGATGACCAAATCCCAAGATGTATTGGACTTGTATTTTTACAAACATTTATACTGCTGTTTAAAGCAGAGCAAACATGAACACTTCCATTTCCATTCTTCAAGAAAAATACAGCTGGGTTGCGACTACCGTAGTTCAAAGTATTGTTTCCAGTAGTTAAATGAATGACACTTGTATAATTGGTAAGAAAAAACTCTGTAGGATTTATTTCAAAAGAGACAGAGTATTCTTTATTAATTGATTTTAATACTGCAACCAAACTTCCATTTTTAATTAAAGTATCCTTTTCCTGTAAAAAAGCATCTAAAATAAAATACAAGAAAAAAAAACATTAAAAATATCAAACTTTGATTGGTATAAAATCTTTTAGCAAATCAAGAGATTTTTAATTATTGCCATTATAAGAAGATAAAAAAGTAAACAAACTGTTTGTGGTGATAATTTTCAAGCAATTTGTAACAGTTTTGTCTTTGTTTTAATATCAATCGGCTTAAAAATCACCTTTATATTAATATAAAACTTTTCAATTTTTTTTTTCAGATGTTGTTCAGTATAGTTTAGTTAAAGTTGTTACAAAGAATAAGAATAGTCTTTGCTTAAAAAAAAAGAATAAATATAATCAAATTTATATTAATTTATTATTTATAAAACATAAATCATGAAAATGAAAAGTCAAAGGAAATAAAATAAATAATGAAATAAAAAGTCAAGAGAAATAAAATAAGGTACTCTTATTAAATGGAGGTGATGCTTATTATATGGAGATGCTCATTATATGGAGATGCTTATTATATGGAGATGCTTATTATATGGATGGAGATGCTTATTATATGGAGGTGAGAATTTATTAATTTTCAAAAAATTTTCCCACCTAACTTGAGCTTATTAAGACGCCCTTCTCTCATTATTTAAATTTCATTTGATACAAACAAAGAAACTGTTACCTCAAAACTAATAAAAAAATTATTTTTATTTTTTTCTGAAGACATTAACAAGCCTTCAAGGTTAGAAAAGATAAACTCACTTATAATAATTAAATAAAAAACTTGCACCGACCTATTGATTAGGAGATCCCCATTCTCCTCCATTTATTTAATCTGGAAAAGCATTTTTTTCAAAGAATCCTAAAACATTTTTTTGTTTCCTCCACATCTCATATTAAGCACCTGATAGTATAGTTAAAGATTACAAAAATTCAGTTCCAGCCAGAATTCTGACAGGAATTTATGATTTTTAGTTCAATTCTATTCAAACTAGAGTTACAATAATTCGTGCAAAAATGGCAAAATTTATTTTTTCTCTCCTTTTAAAATTATTGACACAGACTGCGTAAATCAAATTAAAAAATCGTTGACTTATAGGGCAATAAAGAGCTACAAATAAAATAAGGTAAAAAATGTAATTCTCTAAAGAAACACAAGGTAGTTTATTTGAAATAAAAGCCCTCAGTATTACGGTCAGTAATTGGCAATGCCAACCGTCAAGTGTTTAAAGTCGGCAAAAGATCACCAACCTTGTTTCTATATTTTATAGTAAAATCTTTGTATCAAACCTTTTTTCTCAATCTAATGCCAACCTCTAACAGAATAAGGTTGGCAAATTATTTCCTACCTAATTTTTCCTTATGCGAGGGCTGCAATAATCAATTATGTAAATATTTCTGGAAATTTAAGTATAAAATTGTGCAAAAAAAAAGAGTTGTTGTCCAGTTTTGGGCAACAAACTCGTTTTTCATCAAGAATGTTACCTGACTCTGAAAAAAGTTTCTTTACATAGACAGATGAAAAAGTTTTTTTGCTATGCTGCATATATGGAAATAGTAATCCTTATTATCAATCAACTATTTTAACACTACTTAACATGCTCAAACATCTTGGGTGTGATTACACTATCATGTTAATGAGCCCCAAAGGGCAAAAAGTGACTATGATTGTAATACGCACAGACTTGGTTAGAGTTGAATACGATACTCTGTATTATTCTACTCTGTAATAATGATACTCTGCATAAATAATATTATGTATTAAAAATACCATGTATTTATAATACTCTGTATTGATAATACTCTGTATTGATAATACTCTGTAATAATAATACTCTGTATTATTATATAAACTAAACTTTTGTACTATCATTTACTATTAATATAGGAGTCCTTTTAACGTGGTTAGCACCTTTTCATTTAATGTGGTTTTTTCATAATTCTGTGTAGGTTTGATATATATATATATATATATATATATATATATATATATATATATATATATATATATATATATATATATATATATATAAATATATATATATATATATAATATATATATATACATATATATATATATATATATATATATATATATATATATATATATATATATATATATATATATATATATATATATATATATGTATATATAACCCTTTAAAGGCCGAATTATGAAATTGACTTTAAAAAATTATTTAATAATATTTTCACAACAGTTATGGGTCAAATTTTTAGAAAATATAAAATTTTTTTTTGCTGACGTCAGCAAGTTCCTAAAAACAATTGTTGGTATTTGGCAACATTGGTCTTCCATAGTAAAATACATTTAAATTTTTTTTTTTTTTTCAGTATATTTTTTTTTCATAATTGTATATAGAATACCATAATGATGAAAAACCTTCATTATGTCATTAACATAATTAGAGAACACCTCTAAGATTAAGCTTATAGCATGATAGGTTTGACTATCTAGAGGCAGTACCGATATAGTTTATAAGCAAAAAAAGTAAAAATTTAGTGAATTTATAGTAACCAAATTAAAACATATTGCATATACATATTAAAAAAACACAAAAATAGCAAAAATATTGCTGGCTACATACATTATTTCTAATAAATAATAGGTAATGTAATTTTACCACTCTAAATACACGAAGAAGTTATTTTTTGTGAAACCCATAGAAACAATTTTTGTTCAGAGTCAGGCAAAGAGCTATTTTGCATTTTGTACAATATACCCGACTAAATCCAGTCTGGCAGAATTGACATCTGTTTTTTGATTCTTTACACTTTGGCCAATGATCTATGCTATCATAACAAACGTCCACACAAGGGTTTGGTACTAAAGGTTTACAACCACGTTTACTTGTACTTTCATCAGCATCAATCAATCTCTTTGATGGTCTGCCAACTGACCTTGAAGGTAATTCTTTTTCAGCAAATATAAGAACTTTAGCAACACTGGAAATAAATTTTAACAGTGAATACTGACTTTTTTGGGGTAAATTTAATCGGCTAGCATAACGACGATAAAGAAGCCATCCGTTAACTTTACTAATATCTACACAATGAAATATTACCTTCAAATACCACCTCTTTGTTTTTATTGGGGTGCATTAAAAGGATATTAGCATGTCAGCTAAGTCAACTCCTCCTATAGACTTGTTATACTCCATTACAATTTCAGGACAGGAAACACTGACATAGGATCTATTTTTTCGATTCCACCTTTTGACATTTGATAACGAAATGGGGGAAGAGAATGTAGAAACTAGTTGAACACATTTGTTGTCAAACCATCTCACCAAAACCAACCCTGAATTGACATCTGTGAAGTAGCAACTGCTGCCACGCCCTTTTTTTTTTAATTCTTTCTCTGTTGAGAGTGGACATTTTTTTATTCTGTTTGATCTAATTGTTGCTGTGGTTAAAATTCCAGCAAGTTTTAGCTTCAAACACAGATCCAAAGATGTAAACCAATTGTCAAAAAACAGTTTATGATTAACATTTTTTGGTAGCGTTTTGCAAAGCTTTCTTACAACATATTCCCCATTACATTTTACATTTCCACATGCTCCAGAATACAAAAAAAAAATCATACATCATACCAGATGCACCAGCTCTAACAAAATTTTTAAACCCTCATTTTATTGGCTTGTTTTCATTGTATATACGTATGCCACTAAATTTGGTTTTAGCAGGAATTATTTGTTCATCTATACTCTGTTTTTCCTCATGTTCAATAAGTATACAAATTTTCCTCACACCATCAAGAATTGGCTGCACCTTTAAACAGTTTATTGTTTTTATTAGCAACATCATCTTTATTTGTATTGTCATTTGCAAGCAAAAAGTGGCGTAGTGGTTTATATCGATTTCTTGATATGGCATCAGCTATTGGGGCATATCTAGTTTCCTTTGCCCAATACATGTGGTAAGCAGGTAATAGTATTATTGACATCATCATGTGCATACCAAGAAACTTCTCTATTTCATCCTTATTTGTGTTCATAGTTTTTCCATTTTTCTGAACACTATAAAGATTTGTTTTTTCCACAAGTGAATTAGTTATAGAATCATCTCAGAAAAGCTTGAAAAGTGTCAATGGTGTCATTTCATAAAAATATTGGGGTGGTTGACTAAATATATATATATATATATATATATATATATATATATATATATATATATATATATATATATATATATATATATATATATATATATATATATATATATATATATATATATATATGTATATATATATATTTATATATATATATATGAATATATATATATATATATATATATATATATATATGAATATATATATATATATATATATATATATATATATATATATATATATATATATATATGTATTTATATATATATATATATATATATTATGTTAATGGCTTTTATATTTTATTGCCATACGGCAACAATAGCCCATAAAGGGATATATATCAATCTTACACAGATATATATATATATATATATATATATATATATATATATATATATATATATATATATATATATATATATATATATATATATATATATATATATATTGAATTTTTCACTAACAGGGACAGATTTTACGAAAAACAAACACTTATGGGGACATATGCATTATCAGGGACATTATAGTTTACCCGTTAATTTTTTGTCCCCATACGCATTATTTTTTTGAAAAAAATTGTACCAATAAGAATCTTTTGCAGAGAATAAAAAGTTCGTACATTGACTATTTAATAGCCTAAATCCCATAGGAATGCTGCTACATCGACACATTGACTGAAAATTTTGTTAGCGCCTATATATATATATATATATATATATATATATATATATATATATATATATATATATATATATATATATATATATATATATATATATATATATATATATATATATATATATATATATATATATATATATATATATATATATATATATATATATATATATAGGCGCGGATCTAAGGGGTGGCCATTGTGGCCATAGCCACATAGTTTAAAATTAAATA